TTAGGGGACCCACACCATTTGAAATGCATCATCCTTTTCCTCTTTTGAGCGTACTCTATCACTCTCTGGCAGAGCAGCCTCTTTCTGCTGAACACCTGGACTGCTCCTTACCACCTAGCAGCAAGCCAAAGAAAAGGTAAAACTAAGTAACTCCACCTGAAATGGATCTGCTTGGCCCATCTTTGGTTAGATCCTGCTGTCAGGGAAAGCGAAGCAGACAGCGACCCAAATGCAGATTTCATTCACAGAATATTCCTTTATTTCAAGTAACGTAGAACAACACATACTCTTCCACGTGAACACAGTCAACCGCTGTAGGTGCCGTTGAAACGAGGCAGGACCCAAAATGCAGATTGAACAAGAGAAAATACCTCTTATTTCAAGGTTTAACACGGACAAACAGAACACTACCCTGTGAACACAGTCACAGATAAACAAGAAACCAACAATGACAGACAAGCAAAAACAGAACTTAAACACACAAGACAATCAACAAAACAACAGGGACAGGGAGGAGGGAGGAGAAAACCAAAGGGGCACCAGGTGAACACAATCAGGGCAAATCAGGGTAGGCAGGGAACAGTAGGGTGAACACAACATGACATGAACCACAAAGAACGATCTAGACAAGACAAAACACAACCAGGACAGATCGTGACACAAACCGAACTAACGTCTAACGTTCGGTTGAGTTCAAGGGCAAAACTGCGGTGCTATGAGAGTACTGACAAGTAAGTAGGGAACAAGTGACATGAAGCGGACGGACGGCGTCATGAGGACAGCGGGGCGAGGGCACGAGGGTGTGGAAGAGGGAAGAAGATGGACCTTAGCGACACTGAAGGTACACATTGTGGAAAGGAACACGGGGCATATGGCTAACCGACATGCCCTAACAGAGATCCAAGGCGAGGCGAGAGGAGCGACGGTGGACACGTCAAACACAGAGGAAGGGGCGAGGGCGAGGGCTGGGCATGTGACCAAGGTCGAAGATTGCAGATGGAGACACGGAGGCATGATACCCGGTGCATCATCTGTTTTCAAGATAAGTGACTGTCAGAGTCCATAGGAAATAAAGAGAGGTCCTTATGGTCGACGGTGGTGCCACGACACACATGATAATGAACCCTGCGAAGTTTAAGACAAATCGATAAAGCTTTAGAGCCACGAGGACCATGGTGATAGAGCCTGCAGATGGAACGAAAACCCCAACCGGGATGGGCGAAGATGAGGGGAGAAGCTGAATTGTTTGACAGCGAGGGACGGCAGTGAAAACGAGGCTCAAACGAGCTCAAACGAAGGCTCAAACGAGCGCTTTACATCCAGGTCTTTTCCACAAGACATTTTCGTCCGTGAAAGCAGCGACAGCCAGCGGAGCTGAGGTCCGCTTCAGGACGGTGATGATCGACGGCTATTCATCAGAATGGTACCAGTTTAAATTGATGTGTATGGTAAGGCTAATATGCTCTGGTGTATGTCAACGTCAACCCCCCCTCCCCCAGTGCGTAATTAGCACAGATCGAGCACAGCTCAGCACCCCCACTCAAAAATACCTCGCGCCCTGCTGTGTAGCTGATGTCCCTAACCAATTCCGTTGACAAAGGCTACATTTGAAAAGTCAAAGGGCATTTGTGTCGAGAGTAATGTGAATTGCAGTTAAAAATGGAACACGCTGCGAGAGAAGGTTTTTTATTTTTTTGTTTTTGGATTACCTGTGTACCACTGGTAGAGAGTATATCGTTACATGGCTGCCTGAGTGGGAGGTTTGACAGCACATTCAATAAGACCTAGTTAGGTCCATTACCCTGCTCTCAGCTTTCACGTCCTCACCATGTGGACAGAACGACCCGTATAGGCCGAATTGGTCATGCCTTCTATACGAGAGTCAACATCGTCTGAATGTACGCGGGTTTCATTACACGACCACTAGTAGGTGCCTCGAGTGTCATCCTGTAAGAAATCGAACAGGCCTCCCGGCATCGCCGAGTCTGCAATACCGCTCGGAGTGGTTTGGCGTTTAGCTTCACAGTACTACCCTCTTCTGCCACACGGCTAAATGTGGAACAGTTCCGTCCATTGAAGGCGGTTCTTGCATCGATCTCCTCGAAGAAGTGTAATTGGTCGACAAGCTGCCTTAGCTGATGCTGCACCTGAGGACCTCGTCTAAGCGTCGCGGTGGCTCCGGCGCGCGGATGGTTTTACGTCCAGCGCTGAGGGTTCGGCGGACATACCTCCCCAACGCGTATCAGATGCATGGTCACGACAGCCAGCGTCTTGCTGCACGACGACGCGAGTTCTTTGCTTGATCCCCACTGCTCGGCCACGTAACTCAGCTGGACACGGCTTACCGTGTAACCCGCGAGACATGTGAGTTATCCGACGATTCGCACATAGTCCCAGCCTGCAAGCGACTATGAATCAAGTTGCTGGCCTGGTTGTCTAGTACGTAAACTAATGATGCATCACCACCATACATATTGTTGCGATCCCTGCTCTAGATGGTGGTGTGAAAGGTTTCAAACCTCCTTTTGCCTCTAGGGGTCAGTGAAAGGGGCAGTGGTGGTAGGAAGGACTTCAACACCCTATACAAAAGGATAAAACAATAATCCTGCCTCATAATGCCTGCAGCCAAGCCCGACTATACCTAAGATACAGAGTACCTGCAATCTGTACAACAAATACAGAGCACTCGGACTCATAGTCTCGACCACCTCTGTGATCACACGTACCACGAATGAGCACCATGACGTTCAACAGATGGCCGAGCGTGAACAGTTGGATGACAGCATAGATCAGTATCTCTGGTGGATCCGGAGTTATGTCGACTTGCTGCCCTTCATATTTCTATCGGTCTTCACGCTACTGGGTGTGCTATGACAAGTGAGTGTGATAGTCCTCCATTGGCGCGGTTCACTTCTGCCGAGCCATAGGCACGAATCAGAGTGAATTAACAGCCATGCTCACGAACAGTGTCATGCTCACTCCTGAATCAGAGCGTGAGAAATTCCGAGTCCGGCGCGTCAGCTCTCAAGGCCGTTTTCTGCGTTTCATGGCGTCAACATTGTGTGAGACCTAACAACCTTCATCTCGGCATCTATCGCTACGCAATTCGGATCCAAGCATCACATTGTTACACAGACTTCTCATTCTCAGAATTGGCTCCTAAGATGGTCCGGGCTGACGGTTACGGTGTGACAGTCATTTTGATAACAGGTTATCTGGTACTCCATCGACTGATTGATTAGCGTGAACAAGTGCCTGTCAAAGTATCAAGGAGGGAGATTTTTTCGTTCTCCTTACTGAAAGACTACGGAAGGGAAGGGTCTCAAGATCAGTGTGTGTATATATATAGTTGTAGTAGCTCAGTTAATATATGTAATGCGAGTAATCGCATTTTTGTCGCATAGTTTACGTGATTAATACGCAAATTAATCGCACATTTGTGTATCTGTGTCTATATGTGTCCTTAGAGGGATATGTGTCGAGTGTGTGTTATGAGTCTGTATATACATATATATGATGTAATGACAAATATTGTCATGTATATTGTATCAGTAACACCGGCTAAACATTACGAAAATACCGGCTGCAATTCTAGCCTGCTGTCACGTCAGTGTGCCTGTGTGTCGGTGTGTGTTTATGCCATGTGCAAGCTTCAAAGTTGGATGTATCGTCTGAATTGTGCTGAGTCGAGTGTGAATGTCTGTGTGTGAAGCTTGTGTTGTTTGTGTGTGGAAGAACACAAACTGTAACGGACCTGCCGTGATCGATAGTCGTAGAGAACTAAAAATTACTATGTGCACATTGTAAAGTTTACTATTTAGGTTCTTCGGGGGGTGCCAGTCAGGTCTCTCCTTCCTGACGTTTGAGATTTGGCTAGTCAGTCAGTTTTAGTAAGTCATGCAACAAAGGTGTATAACAATCTACACTGCAAAACACAACATTGGAATGACATGTAGAAAACTTAAGAAAGGACACCACATCTCAAAATTAAATAATCACAAATAGCAGAGTGTATTTTTTGAATACCCCACAAACAATCAAACAATTAGTCTTCCACACAGTTCAATGTTAAATCCAAGAATGTTCCACTTCGGGTTTTCTCAAATAAATAAAACAGTCAAATTTACCACGGGAGAATGTCAGTCATTTTTAGGCAATCCCAGTCCGTTTAGAAAAACCAGTCCTGGTTTTAAGGTGGTTGGGAGATGAGACCGGCTCCTTTTCAGTTTGTAAACAATAATCCCGGGAAGTGAAGCGACAGAAGGGATGCATGACGGTGGGATCAGACACGGTAACACGGACTTTAAATGACCTGCTGGTCTATAAACAGATGAAGCGCTGTTGCCAGCCACACCGATCACCTCTGCTGCACACACCTTTCCCTTCCTGCTCCGTCTAACTTAATTACGGGGGAAAGAAGAAAATGGAGGCGCCAACCAACAGCGAATCCTGGCTGGGTGGGGCGTTACCGTGAGTGACTACCGGTCCCATAAAAACCCGGTTTGTTAACACTCCTTCCCCCATGAGAGAAGCCTGAGACATAGGAAGGCTTTTTCATTTTCCTTATCCTCCCTTATTTTATTTCCGAATTGTTGTCCAACTTTAAGCGGAAACCCACAAAACCTCTTTCATCGCTTTCCTCTTCAAAAATCTTGAGGATACGCTGATGTTGCTTTCTGTCCATCTCTTCAGCAGTGGGAAAGCATGGTTTTGATTTGAGCCAATTAACAACACGAAATGTCCTCTCCAGTCTCTTCTAGGACCCACTCAAAGTTTAAAGGTCCGACTTGCCTGATGACACGATAGGGACCTCTTCCACCTAGGTGCCAATTTGGCCATATAGGGATTTATCAGCCCCTTATGAGTAAGGATGGGTGCTTTTATCACACACGATCCTTCTCTAGAGAAACCACATCTCTTCTTCCCCTTTGTCATAGTTTTATTTTTTGTCTCTGCCTTGCTTTTTCCATGTTGTTTGCGTTTACCATTTTCTGAAAGCTCGGCTATCGTGTTAGCCTGTAGTGTAGGCAGAGGTGTCAGGGATCACAAGAGATGGGGCTTCTAGCTCAAACATCCAATTGGTCCCTTTCAAAAGGACGACAAAGGTTTTAGCTCTGCAGGGGTGCTCCTGTGGACTCAT